CTGACTCCATCGAAGTGAAATAGATGGAGATACAGGCGAAAAGAGGACGTGAATTGAAGGAGGCGCATTTACCTTGGTGACAGACGAATTCCAGAATCCTTCACAACGAAAGGATTTAGACTGGCGTCTGCATTTGGTTTCACCTTATTCCCGTGTTCCACATACAGGCTATTAACAACTGAAGCAACACCGCCGTGAACTATCTGGAAAAATTTCATGTCGAATTTTTCCATAAAAAACCGTGTTTGGATGTAGAAAATGACATTACGGTTCTCCTTGCATATGGGGCAGTAACTCATCCCTTTTCCTTGCAACATATATTTTTTGGATCAGAGTTGTACTGTCTATTCCTGGAAGCAATTGATGGTCAGCAGGTGTATGCTGCCCCGAATCTGGTTGTGAGAACGAACGTAACTGCAGATCCAGTTGAAGCAGCTGAGGAGACCAGGTACGGTTCCTCAGTCTGATGCTATCTGTCAACTGGCGCGGTTGGCTCGTGAGTGCTTTCATGTAGTACCGAAACTGTTGCGATGGCTGGCGCAGAAGGTGTACCAAAGGAGAGCGCTGAGGACGCCACTCAAAAGAAGAGAGGGGCAGCGTGGTGCTTTATTAATGTGACCGCATGACGCTAGGCGGCCAATTTAGGATTTATCTGGTCCTTGTACGCGTGGGCTTGCCTTCGGGCCAAAATCAGGCCCAATCTGCCCTGTCGTCTTCAGAATACACTTACTGACTGACTTACTGCTGCACTTACTGACTTCTTATACCGGCCAGGAGGTCTCGAGACGCTACATCACCTTCCCCTCTCTCTAGTTACAAGCTTCTTACCCACAATAATACCTACTGTAGCGCCCCAAGACTTCCACTAAGTGGAAGAGAGTAAAGACAATAAAGCCTGAGCTTGGCCTGAAGGCCGTCCCATGCATACAAGAATCGGATGAACCTCAAAGTGACCACCAGATTTCAGGTGGAAGCATCGGTAACGTGCAACATTTCGACTATCAAATAAGGATCCTAAGACGTTACAATTGAAGTTGCCGTAAGTGTTGTGTATGGTTCTATCCTAATAAAATGTAACAGGGCACCAAGAATATATTACATGCTAAAAGCCATAGTATTGATATTAATGACAAAATTGTGAAAGTTGTATGTGTAAGACAGTGCAAAGTAAGAAATGCAGAAAGACAAATTTGATCACGATATTAAACAATTCAAACAAGATTCCTTATGTTCACATACGAAAGGTAAATATAGTTATGTTTTAAACGCACAACTTTTGTGCAAATAACGGATCCTTAGCTGGTTAGTAAAAGTTGTGATCCCGTATATACCATGTTTGGTAAAACTAGAGTCAGGTGTGAAGGTTGCGGGCGTTCCCCTTCACGCTTACGCCTCCGAAAATGGCTAGTCCAAGGACTCGGCACGCTTTGGCAGAAGTTCGTCGCATAGAGGAGAATAATGTTGGTTCCTTTGAATCGAATGTGGTTTCTTAAGTCTAATAGTAGCTTCTTGTGTGATATACAACATTACAAAGTCATTTCCACTAGGCTTTCACCTGACGTGGACCAGTAATTTGGTTCATCATCCCTTCCACTTTCGAATTTCGTTTTCCCTACCATATTTGTACGATTTTATGCAGAGAGTACAGGGTGCTATATATGGGTTTTGGCATTTTGCAACTTTTGCTCTTACTGATTATGTTAAAGTTGGTATAGTGGCAGCACCAAGCGGACTCTGTAGTGGCTCATTGAAAATTTCTGCCCTTTAATTATTATTGGAATCCATCATATAGTTCTGCTTTGAGTGTGGAGCTCCGAACCCGCAGTGGGCCAGTGTTACCTACGGCATCTGGATATGCCTAGAGTGCTCAGGAAAGCATCGTGGTCTTGGAGTGCATCTTAGGTAACCTCCTTTACTCCTTACAGTAAAGTTTTTCTTATTCTAATACGATCTATAAGACGCTAGTAACTTGGCACAGTGATGTTCACTGGTACTTAAACCTTCTAATTAAAAACGTATTCTGGAATTCATCCTAATCAGCCTCCTATCTTCATTATCTCTTTTCATTCTTTTTGATGGGTACTTCACTTACCGTCGGTCTTCACATTACATGTTTCAAACTCTTTATGGCTGCTGTTATTCTCTAGTCTGACTTTCATATTTAATAATTATAGATGTTCACTTTAGTCTTATTGATTCCTTGGTCGTTGTCCTCACCAGACTAATGCTTCTACAGGTTCTACCAATCTTGCTCCTTTTTACTTAAGCCACATGCCACTTGAAAGATTTTGTTAACTATATTCAATGAAGGCCTTTGCGGTGTAAATTTTTTTACAATGTTTTTAAATCTATTTTCCCCACATATATCAGTAATTTTGCCCTTCGTTTTTGTGGTCATTCTCTGATTGTCATTCGTCCGACTTTGATCTCTTATTTGCTAACCTTTAACTAGAGGACAACTTTTCTGTGAAATTTTAAATAGGCATTGTGAACATGTTTACATCAGTTTTGTCGAGTTTCGTGCATATGTCATCGCTTACTCATGGTTTATTATAGCTCCTACTTATCCTCTTAAAAGTAGGGTGTAATTATGCTTTTTGCGCAGCTTTGTGCGTTCCGTAACGATGGATAAGTGGAAGCCGATTGAGTTGGAGAAGATGAAGGTGGGCGGCAACAGGAAGGCTCGTCTTTTCTTTGAGCAACAGCCAGACTTTCGATCGAGCTGGTCTCTCAGCGAGAAGTACAATAGTAGAGCCGCTGCCCTCCTTCGTGATAAGGTAGGCAACGTCTAAAATCCCGTCACGCTTCCTCCTTGGACGAGTGGCAAACTTACATTGCGCTAACTGCTCTAGGTTTCAACGGAGGCAGAGGGGCTCGCATGGAGTGAAGAGACTTCTCCTGCCAACAATTATCGCTCACCTCAGAGGATCAATCGCAGCGTCACTGCTACCAGTCTGCCTTCCACTCGACCTCGAGACATCACTAACCCACGAGTGCTACCTACAGTTCATTCCGATCTTGAGTCTTGGCTGAATGAGTCTGAGCAGAAGACCAGGACGGAAGATTTTTTTAGTCGCATGATGGCCGAAAACGCCAATCGGCCAAGGTGAGGTTGAGGATTGTTTTCCGATTAAATAAGCTTTTCAAAAATTGTGGGGACTTTGAGTCACCATTTTCTTCCGCTTTCAATCACTTGTTGAAGTAACAAGTTCCTGACTTTGCCGCTTCCGCTTCAACAAATTTCCCGTTATAAATGGCTAAAACCTTATTTATTCAGAAAATAGGAATTGAGGCGAAATGATTTGATTTTGTACTTCAAGAAATTATATAACAACCGTGTACTTTTGAAATCAACATGTTATTGACTCTAAAGTCATTTAACTAACTAAATAGAGAATGTTATTACTGGAATCTGCAATCTACGGCACCACACAAATACCATAATCATATACTTTTGGCCACTGTTTTAGTTCCTATGGAAGGCTTTTTTAAATCAAAAGGGATCAACGTGTTTGCCTCACCCCAGATCCTATTATCTGAATTTTTTTCTCCCTTAATTCAGTAATAGTTTGGAAGGTTATATTCTTGTTGCATCAATATAGTTTTATTCTACTTAGGCACGAAAAGTCAGAAAATGTGAACAGATTTGATCAGGTTGCTAACATCTTCCGGGCATTCATGACAAAATGTAAACGCATTGTGTCCATGCTGTCTTCTAGCAATGTCTAATTCATCCGCATAAATGCATTACTTTCACCCCTTGGACGATAAGGCGAGCTTTTGTTCTTTCGACTTGAAATCATTTGCATAAAGCGAAATTCGTCTTTATTTAACTGTTTAGTTGAACAGCAGTAGTATCATTATTATTATAACTAGTACTTTATTAATGCGTTGCATGTAGTGGTCCTTTATCTCCACTTCTGCCAAATTGATTGCGAAACATTTTCACTTCATCCTCTTAAACGCGGTTTTTCACATTTTCTACTGCCCGACTGCTATTTGTCATCCGTTTTGTTTTTTTTTGTTTTTGGGTCACCTTAACGAGGTTTATTTGCTTGGTAAGTTGACGTGGAACAGGCTTATTTTGAATTGCTTTTAGGTGAAGCTTTTCTGTGAACATTGGACGTCTGGACATCTGTGTGTTCTGTGTTGAGGCTTCTGCTTTCTATTTTGATTTTTTAAATGAAAAAGGAGCACGAGTTAATCATGAAGAACGAGGCTCTGGTTATGGCATCCCGAGCTGATTCGACTTGACCTTTGTTTAGGTGGCCTTGCTCTCTTTTTTTTTACATCCTCCTTATCAATGAAAGCTGCAGCATTTGGGTTCGTTGCACTCACCCAAAAATTACAGCTGTGCTTTATATGCAGGAAAATGTCTGACTTGTTGTTTGCCGCACTGGTACCTGATGGACACACTAAGGCAAACATGACCACGGCTACCACTATTTTTTATTACTTCATTCTGGATTGCCATTGGTCTTCCGGATATTTCAAGTTGATTTTTCAAAACTCACAAATGCAACAGTTATGCGTTCGTTTTTGTGTTTTGAACTGATTTGTGTGTCGCACACACGTTGTGCTTTACTGCCAAACTATTCATTTAATTTACAAGGTAAAGGAATAAACGAATCCATAAACAAATAAGTGACTTTATTGATGCCATTTAACAAATTCTCCAGTACTTTTTCCTCAACTTTTTAGCGCTTTGTTAAAATGTGGCAATCTTACTCCAAAAGCCATATGCAGGAAAGCGTTCGCCATCTTAAGGTTTTATGCTCTGCTTTTTGCAGAGGTGAGGCTGTTTGAAAATTCACACGGGCTTTCGTGACTATGACCTACCCAAAGGCTGTTATTTTTTTATTTTGAAGCCGAAAATCGGAGGGGTTTTTGAGTAAATTTGCTTCTCCCTCGATATCGGGTGCTGAGATTGAACAGAGGTATTCCTTCCACTAATGTATTATTTAGCAGAATAAGGAATCGACCGATGAATTAAACATGAACTCGCTAGGTTATAAATTTATTATGCCCTCATAATATCATCTCCGTTAAATTTTGTTTATAAGACTCAAAGCTTTAAGTTGTAAATCGAATTTTATAATGCAGCCGTTTACCACTTTCTATTCCTCTCTTTTGTTGGATGCGGTTAAGTGTATTAGAGTGAGTTAATTTTACGCACTTGCCTGTGGCATTCATCATAGCCTTAAACATCTCAGTTTCTAAACTCCACGTTGAAATTTACAGTGCAACCGGTGGGGGTTCTGGTTTATCGTCGTCCGCTGATGGCTGCCAGCGTATAACTTCGTGACTGAAGGTAGCAACTTCTGTTTAGCACTGACATAGGGTATCCGTAAAACCAATCAACAATATTCCTTTTTGTAAGCTCGACTAGAAATCAGAATTGTTATAGCTAGACTTGTCAGGATGCGTTTCTCCCATTTTAACTGGTAACTCAATGCTTTGTCGTAATACTCCTTAGTTGTAGCGTCATCTGAAGTTAGTTCCTTTTTTACCGCCTTATTTCCATGGGCTTCGATGTTAATGCAATTTCGATTTATTGTGATTTTATCTGCTAGAAGCTTCATGATGGCACGTAGGATCCGTACTTCTTTCCCAGAAGAGCAAAATGGTTGCTGTAAATGGAACATGTTTTTTGCAGACCATTTCCTTTGCCATATGGGGCAGAAATAGGAGTATATGTGTTATGCTATTTGCTTTTATCGATTCTAATTTCCACTTTAACAGATGCCTAAGTAAAAAGTAAGCTAATAAATCTATTACAATGATTACAGTAAATTGGTTGTTCAATTGCCTGTACCGAGTTCAACTATTGAATGAAACATTCTACCGCTTTTTGGTATTGGACATAGAAGGTTGTCTTTTTTAGGCTTCTTATTTGTGCAACAATCGCCTTTATCATTACCTATTCTTGTCTGCCGCAAATTTACGCACGCTCCACCTTCAATTCTCCCTCACTTTCTTAGGAGTCCATTTGGCGTGCAAGGTTCAATAAGCCTAAGATTAATTAATCAGGTCACAACCCTGTTCATCATTCAAATTTCTCACTTTATGATTACTGCTGATCAATTTAGGAGTCGTTCCTCCACTTCTTTAGGCTTTGATTGTAATCAGCCAGGCGTCTCGGTGCCGAAACAGTAGGACTGTCCCCATCTCTCTCGTCGTTCTCTACCACGAGCTGGAACTATTCGTGATATTTTAAGCAGATTATTGTTCTCAATTTTCAACACAATGACGAAATATCACCTTTTGGGTTTTTGTCTTTATACCGAGCGACCAGTTAGATGATGCGGTTAGGCACCGTAAGCTCTACTCACACTTTCAGCTGTTCAAAGGAAAATGCGAGATCGCAAGTAATAATTGAATTTTTTATGTATTTGTTAATGTTCCGGGCATCTTAAAACGAAATTATGTTATATAGTCTGATGAAACCTGTTCATTTCTTTTGGGTCATAATCTGCATGCACCAACCTACCTAACACGATAAATAGGCTTGGCCTATTTCGGTTTATGTGCTTATTAATGGAGATTAACTTCGATTTGGGTACAGTTTCTCTGTGGCAGGCCGTACAACTTCCGGAAAGTGGTATTTTACCAGGCTATCAGGGATTGTACTTTTCTCAGAGCTCTAAACAACTGAAGAATCGCTTTATTGAGAAGTCTCGGAAAACTTTTCCCTAAGAAGTTGAATTCTCCCATTTTGTAACTCCTTCTCATTCATTCTTAGCCAGCCTAGTACCACATGAAGGTGACTTTGTGTGCTCAAGATGACATGAATGCATGAGGGGTGGAGCTTCCCATTAGTGATTAGAGCACGTCAGTGCCCCATAATCCTGGTCATTTTTATGTCTGGTTGACCTGATGTCATCTTGGACCTCCATGTTAGGAGTGCAGCATTGTGATCTTACGCAGGTGAGAAGAGGATTTTGACTTTAGTCATGTCGCTTATTGCTGTGCTGCCACTCGTTCCGTTAACGCGACGATTAAAGGAAGCAAATTTGATTGTGTCATGGGTGTGGCTTCGCGCATCGTTTTTGGGAACTACGTTCATTTTGTAACAAAGATTATTATCGTGCTTCTCCCTTTCTTCTTTCCCCACCTGAAACCATGCTAGATTTTCCTAAAAATAAAGAGTTTAAAGCGAAACGAATACACGTGTCTTTTTATCCTTCTCACATAATTTTGCCTTCTTGTTGCCTCTGAAGCGTTCGCCTCTGCTTTGACGACTCTTGAAACGGTTACTAGAGATCTGGTGATAAACATGATCAGTAGCCTTCTGCTTTCGTTGCATCGAAGTTCACAGGAATCGTACTTTTCGATTTATCTTCGAGCAAATCCTTGATCTAACTTTTTAGTGGCCTCCCACCCAGTCAGGGCGGTCGATATGAAGGATTTGGAAACACTCCGGTCCCACATAAACCTGAGCCCCAGTCCTCTGCTTACGATGATGCCTTGAAAGTCCTCATGAACGTGAGTGCCCATTTTGCCCCGGCTCAAAACACTGAGTTTAGTGCTTTTACGCGCTCAATTTGAGCAATTTTCATTGCTCTAGACCCTTTACCTGTTAACTTTAGATTCCATGTCGTGACTGCACCTTATCTGATAAAGATGTGCCGCGCCTTCTCACTGTTTATACTGCTAGCAACGCAAGATTACTCATTGACACAGGCACAACTTTCGTCACTAACATTGCCTTTGCTGCATTGCTCTTATATATTGCTTGCTGGTATGATATCAGCGATGGATTGAGAGGTAAACAATACTTCTTATGTGTGAGTTTACGCCTTTTTAGGCTCAATAACTTGAAATCAATGGGAGAGTTGGTTGATTATTTGTAAGGCTACTTAGCAGCGGCGATTATCTTATCGCGGGCGCACATGCTCTTGCGTCATTCTGAAGCTTCGCTCTAGCATTGAGTAGAATGGATTCTTACGGATGTTATCTGGCTTTTGTAAGAAAAGTTGTTCTTCCTATTGGGCGGAACCTGTGGTCTGCAATCAAATAACTCTTTAGTAGATTCCTTGCCATAATAACTTGGATTTTATTTTCGGAAGTTTCTGGCATTGGAAACGAACTGTACCATCGTCAGAGAAAAGGGAACTGATGTAACATTTTTGTAGCCGTGTAGCAGACACGCCCACCAAATCCGCCTGCTCTAAGTACTTCCTAAAGTGCACTGAGTATTCGGGTTCTTGCGTATGCGCATGATAGATTTGAGCTCGAATACGATGGATGTGCTGTGGAAGAAAAAGCGGTTAGGAATGTTATGAAAGCATTCTTTTAATAATGAACCATTTCCACATTATTAATGTAGTGTGACTGATCTGGTTTCGGTCGGCTTATAGGTGTGATTTTTAATGCATTCAATTTTTACCTATTCTATTCTAAGGAACTGCGGAATGCTACCTGTTCGAAACGCTAAAATGTATGCGAAACACTCTTAATTAGGCAGTGATTGGAATTTCTAGTTTATAATTCGCATAAACGAAGAAACATTGAGATCTCAGTAGTTAATTTCCCATTGAAGTTTTGATGGTAAGTAACGCGTCGAAGTGTGACGATCGTTTCCTCATTACGAACTCATTCTTCGATAGAATGAACCAAATGTGATGTATGGTACTGGTAATGGTATTAGAAATTATGTATCATTATATGCCGAATCATGGTCATTTTTCTTTTGTTTCACAATAAACAGGGAAGGCAGGTGTGTAGCACCGTCGCTCTCTTCCGCTTCTCTTTTGGCAGGCTTCTTATGTATCTGCCGCCTTTGAGAAATTTTATTAGACATAGCAGGTACGAGGCGGGGGATAGGTAGCGAAGTTTCATTCTCCACCATCTCACTTGATTTGAGATCCTGCCTTCGACCTACAGGATGCATTTAAGCAACTAGCTTGCATTACAGCATGAACCGGTAAAGCACCGTACAGACGTTGACTTCTCTGTTCTTCCCTTAGTAGAAAGTTAATTAGGTGATTTTGTCTATCATTTGACGGTTGCAGCAAAGATAACTGCTTCCTCTCGACAGATATTCTGGTGGTAAACGTTTGCCATATACAGCCTAGTAATTAGTACTAATTTAGTGGATTTTCGATTAAAAACTCATTTTCAGTTATTTTTGTGCAGTTGCAGATGCGCTTCTTTAAACTTTAATTGCACCTTGTATTTGTGAAGCTATGAACAAGAGGGTTTTAGCTCTCTAGACCAGCAATTATGCTAAAGAGCATTCCTTAGGCAGGAAATTTTACCAAGGAAGAAGGAAAAAGTGCCGCTTTGCGCAAGGAGCAGTGCCCTAGGCACCGTAAAATCTCGTGTTTGTACAAGGGGTGAAGTTGAGTCAGTTTTTAATTTTACGTCTATAAAAAGAAGTACTATCATTTCGATACACTCCCAATCATGATGACAAGCAGCAGTGGTCGTGCGTGAGTAGAGGTGTGCACGCAACAATGCACGGTAATGAAGCCTCTCTTGAACAAAGGCGTCAAATTTAATCCGTGGCTATCCACTCCTTTCTAAAGAAGTCTACTGGGCTGTGCTTTCATTCATTAGTTGAACACTGTTATATGTGCATGTGTAAAGCAATAAAGTATTTGTTGTTTTCATTGGCTATGAAATCTAAAAATCCGAGTTTTATTTGATCAATTCTCGCGAACACGTTGTCCTGTATAAATTGTTCGCTACTTTCCTATTCATTTGTTCGTTGGTGTTCTCTCATCGAGCATTCGTTCATTCACCATGTCTCCATTCGGCCATTTCTATCTGCAGATCATGCTTTTCTAACTCAGCAACTAATTTTACACAGGTTCATGTCTGGCATGTTCTTGTTTGATGTGTTAATGCTCTAGACTTCAGCAAAATCCCAAGCAAATTTTTGGTTGGAGGAAATGGTAAAACGCGCATCGTTATAATGGGACCCAATGAATCGGTGTCAAGTCTGAGGTGGAGGTATCAATTTGTGCAATCGAAATTAAAGGGAATTGAGTGGCAGTTGTTTGAAGATTTTCCACCAAATTGGAAATCGTCAATGAGTGGGTGGCAAATGACGTATGATATCATACAGTGGTTAAAAACTTGACTGAGTAATCAGTGAGACTTGTGGATGCTTCTGAAAATGTCGCCGATACTTCTGTAACAATAACAACCTAGGAAAGTTAGCGTTTTATGGCTTTTGGCTCTGGATCATGCCAAATGTTCATCTTCTACTCCTAGATCGGAAAGAGCTTAGGTTGTTTTTTGAGACACTGTACGACTTATAAGCTCTAATGCGTCTTTGTAGTGCTTTTAAGGTAAACTTCATTGAAAACAATTTCATGGAACCATAATAGCAACTGAAATCTCCAAGATTGAAGACTTTGCTTAGTTGTTTTCACTATTATTCACCATTTTCTTTGTGCAAGACACCTTATTGTCCCCTTAGCTCGTCTGAGGCAGTTTCAAGCACAGTGCTTCAAAACACGTTGACGATGACTTCGTACCCATAGCTGTAATCTTTCTATCAGAACAACCAATGAAATGTAAACTGTCAGATCAATCGTGTTGTACGTTTTACCCGTTACCTTATTGGAGTAGGCAACAGTCACCCTTTCCCAAGGGAAGTGAGGTGAGGTGAATAGAACCCTCAACTATTCTACAAGGCACTGGGTCCTTGCCTGTCTTCCCATTGTATAAGTCTCAGGAGGCAATAAAAGTTGATGGTACTTCAAGGGTATCTTTTGAGTAATTTGTCTCTTCATTCACAGGGCTGGTCTAGCTTCAGCATGTTCGCCTCGGCAGCTGTAAAGAAGACCAACGAATTGGCCGTCACGGCTACTGAGAAGACAAAACAGCTGGGACAGAGCGTCCAATCAAAGGTGATCTAACTGTTGCTTTCAGACATAATTCTCTTTACTTTGGACTTGTCTTTTGCTTGCATTTTGTAAGTACATCTGAGTGGGTTGATGCTGAAGCTACTTATTTGAACAGTTAATTTATAATCATGCGACTGCTTTGTGCGGTTGATCGTACATTCCTACGCAGACCTTTGGTATGGTCTTCTTAGATCGAGCATGATATTTGTGTTGTAAAATATGTTTCATCGGTTAGGAACGGGATTTTGAAGTTGCCTTAGTAGGAGATTGTCTCACATTTATGCCTTCAAAAGCTGTGTTCCACTTAACCGCTAGACATACTTTCTCAGAAACTCTACTCCAAGGAAAGCGGATTTATAAAAAAATGAGTAATGGGACAGAGGTCAACCTACTTCTATCCACACTTCCTTTCAACCCCTTGTTCTTTTACCAAAGGCAATTTTTTTTAACTCCTTGAGCATGTTTGTGGAAGAAAAGCTCACCTTTTATCCACATCAGTTTTCTCTTAACCTTCTTGATTTCCCTTTCTGTAGTCCCATTGTGCTCATTTCTCAAACATTAGCAAATTAAGTGAGATTGATTAAGTTGTGTATACCGCTTCTATTCTTGTGTGTTTCCCCCTTTTAATTGAATAGGTTCATTGTGCTTTTAATTTTTCGTCATTTTTCTGTTGTCTCTTCACCCATTTTCTTTCAGATTAAAGAGGGCCACTTAATGGACACTATTTCGGATGGCGTGTCGAATCTCTCTAGCAAGGTGACAAGCCTTTCAACACAATGGCTTTTGCTCTTGGTTTAGCTTGGCGTTCTCTTAAAGCAGCAGCCTCACCGTTCCTCGCATCTGAGTTCACCCATGTAATCTACTCTTCCTCTCTTCTTCCAGATGCAAAGCTATCTACAGGCTCCGAGCGGCACCATGCAAACACCCGAGGACTGCACTCAGCGTCATTTACAGCACAATTCTCAATCCTTTGACAATTCTACCATTACCAATGTACCCTTGAACAGCAATTACGGATCTCTTTCAACGTAAGCTATCCTTTCTACTTGTCCTGTTAAAAAGGCGAACTCGTGTTCGTGAATAAGCAGGCGTAAGTAGTAGGGACTGCATTTGCTTTTCTACTTTACTCTGTCAGTTCGTACACACACATTTATAATGGTATCCAAAGCAGCACAGCACAGTCTGCTACGGGGACAGTAGTTTTCTTATCCAGTGGTCCTCTTTGGATGAGAATTTGTGGTTGTGGGTTCAATTTGGCATCTTTTTTTAACGAGGAGCACACTTGAACTCGTGCACGACCACTGTTGCTTGTCACCTTAAGTTGGAAGGCATTGACACAAAAATGTTTTTAAAGATGTCATTCTAAAATTTGAGGCTCTACATGGGATCTTTGTGGGTCGCTTCCATTTGCCATCCTTTGCAGTCATACCACTTTTCCCAGTTTCAAGTGTTATTTAAGCTGGTTTCTCAACATCATGTTTGGGAATCTTGCTGAATCACCATTGTTGATATAAATCAAGTCAAAATCTCCTTTTAGAGATCCTACGATTTGCTCGTATTGACTGTAAATGGGAAATATGAAGTTTTTCGCTAATCTTTAAGGCGGCGAGTTTGCACTGAACGTCGACGGGAAAGTCAGAAAAAAAGGTGTATGGATCCGCTTATTCGGGGCATCTTACGAGGTCTACATGTTGAGTGTTAGTTCTCCCATTCATTGACAAGAGCAATAATGACAGTTCAAACATCTTTTCGAGAGTAAAGTCTTCCTCCTTTTTCTCGTTTGATCAATTTGAGTTAATAGCAAAGTTGTGTTGCATTTGCCTTGAACTGTATTGCATTGAAGCGTTTTGAGAGGACACTTCTAATTGAAGTTAGTATTGCTTCTGTTACGGTACGCTACCAAGATTCATACTTGTATTCTTCTGAGATTTATTTTATTCGTTTTTTTGTCACGGCCATTCATAGCAGCAGCTCATCGGGATCTACCTGACCACCTGTGAATCCTGTTTCACTAAGGGAAGGACAGTCTGACAGCCCTCTTCTTGTGTTCTTTGTTTCTAATTATTGTGGGAATTCTGTGCAAAATGTTTGGATCCTACATTAACATTGAGGCTTCTTTTTTATAAAATTTTCTTCCCTACTGCAAGCCCATTTCCGTTGGAAAAGGTGTTGTTGATTTACGTAATTGCATGTCTCTGAACCGAACACCTAAAATTGACCGCTTTAGCTTCTACTAGATTAGGCTATTTAAATGGATGTTCTTCTACCTTGGAACTAGAAGTTGTCCAGGGTAACTATCCGTTTTGTCATCAAGTTGACTTCTTTGGCGATGTGCATTCCTAGGTTGAGGGGTTTATTCGCATTCACATTATTGCGAATGAATTGAGACCAGAAATACGCGGTTGCGCTTTGATCTACAATTCGGTTGTCGTGGTAGCGATTTTGACCGCCTGCATTCGTACATGCACTCACACACCCACTAAATTAAAGCCTTTGATGTTCTGTGGCCAGTAAAATTATCATGTCCATGGTCATAATCATGGATATAAGTTACTCAATTGCACAACATGCCTTTGTAACTTTTTATCCAAATGCTCACGAATCGTCTGCCGCTTCAGTTCTGAATATTCTATTAATGTTTTTTTTTGAGACGCATTTCACTTTCTTTGTCAGGACTTAGCAGCTGTGAACGTTTTCCCATCTTTTATTCCTCTAACAGGGGCTATTATATCCGCTTCTAAGCATATATCACATGACGATGCCTGTTATAGAATGTAAATCGAGTTAGCAAAAACAATGTGTACTGTCATCATGCTTGTGGGCTTAGAGGCTTTTGGGATGCCAATTGTTCAAACCTCCTGGGATCTTTGTTCTACACGAAATTGATTTATTAACACTGAACACGATTTGCGTTCGCACAGAGAATAAAATTATCCCATCTGCGACAGGTTTGGGATGTGTCACCCTTATCTAGCAGAACATCTGCAATTTGGAAATGAAGACATTCTATCCATGACGCTGTTTAATATACAAATCTATGCTGGCCTTTTATTTTTCATGAACATACACACCCGCTCCTATTCTGTCCTCTCCATTCGCGTGACAGGAAACAAAAAAACGTGAGAAATGCTTGCCCAGAGCATCATTTTTCTTACATTCTTGTTCTGATTGTTTCAACGTTTTAAACCCATTCTCGTGCGTCACTATTTGCTGCGGCTCTAGCGCGCTCATGAGGGGCATCGTTACATTTCGTGGCAGTGCTTTTTGGCACACTATGTTCGGTTGATCATGCTGAAAACATTTTTTTGCAGGAAATGTGCCGCAGAGCATCTACTGCAAGCACTGAACACTCCTTTCTAACAAAACAATTTTCAGTCCCTCCTCTTGTTTGCGTTCGTGCAGCTGCATTCAGTCTCCATTTAGAATTAGACGACGTAGCAATAATATTTAATGTTTGCGTTCTCTGCTTGCGTCTACGAGCTGTCAAACGTTTCACCGTGTTTTGTTTTATTTGAATACACTTCAATCTCCATGATTATTGCTGATTGAATAAATACCTTGACTTCCATTGTCTTAAACCACTGGATCCGAATTTTACACATGGGAAAGGACGCTACCATCTCGGTATTATGACACACCTATCGCAATGAAGTTTTGAACATGTCGGTGGTGGACCCACGTGCAGTGATTTTTGTATGGGCCTAAAAGCTATTCTTATACGCTTTAACCAATCAGTACTAGTTGGAGTTTTTATCCTTACCTTCACAGGCTGTGTGAACACAAGCCTGGAAGCTCGCTAGCAAGCATATGGATCTAGGCCTGGGGGTTAATCACGGTTACTCATAGTGGCTGTTAGATCACCTAAATTGGCAACAACGAGATCTCTACCGAATGATAGGGAACGAACGAGAGCCGTTTCCTAGAGTGTTTGATAAAGCTATTGTAAATTGAGAACTTCTGAAGAGAACCTTGAAGAAGGAATGGTTTTTTTGGAACCAGAGATCTCATCAGCATTCGCGATCTGATTTAAATCTCTGTTGTTGGATCGACATTGATCATTGTAGCTGAGAGGAGGTCGTGAGGAAACTTGAGTTAATTTTTTATGGCGCCAGTGGAAGCCACATGGCTGAGACACAAAATTTTTTTTTCGGTTGTTGAAACAATCAGCTGGAGGAGGCCACTGGCATACACTCACTGTCAAGAAGTGACGAACCATTCTGTATGTGGTCTAGATGGTTACCTAGCTAGACGACGTCGTAGTAACTCAGCTCGTTAGGTTTTATGCCCTCTGCATATCCTTACCTGATTTGCTTTGTTAATAGCATAACGACGGAGCGCCTTTTATCCCGCTTAATAGTGATATATGTCGGAAAGTGAAGAGTTTTGATGAGGACATTAACGGCGGTGATGGATGGGGAGATGACTTCTCTAGAGGCAACTCCACTCTCACAGAGGGTATGTTTATGCCGCCTCATTTCTCGCCTTGTGTTGACTTTTTTGTGCCATATTGTTATAACTTCAAATGCATTTTTTCTCCATCTTAGAGACTAAGAAGTCACCGTTAAAAGAGGAGTCAAATGATTGGTGGAACTCGGAATGGGATGTTGACGACGCAGGACGTGGGTGGAGTGATCTGAGTGGAAAAGTTGGAATCAGTATCACTTCAGCTGCGAGACAGTCGGTGATGAATCAGCGCTTTTCCGAGACTGCCAGTCGTCGTAACAAAACGGGCAAATTAGACTAATTTGCTACCTTTCTATTGACATCCTAAGCGTGATGCCCTCACTTTCCATACCTTCACAATGGTTTTCTTATCTTCTTCTGAATTATTCCTCTCCTGACACTGCTCCCGCCTGTTCAACGGCTCAGTAAATTGCTTCTTTGTTTGCTATGTGGTGTTGGCACTTTTTAGATCGGAAGGTTATTTGGAGTTTTAGTTGTTCGAGCTCATTCTTTTGGTTTTCCCAAACACGAAGGTTATTACTCTTTTACCTGGCCTTTGGTATCGGACAAACAGACAGTGGTATTGTCCTTGATGAATGCTTAAGGCGGATCAGACGCATCGGTGTATGTATTACCGAGATTAATAGGACACGGTTATAAGAGTACCTACAATTATATGCTACATCGCTCCTAACAAGGCCAAGGTATGGTTAGCAGAGCTGATGATGCCATCAAATGGTTTTGACGCTACCATCGACGATCTCCGGCGCGATGTGTTTGACCTCAGATTCGTCAATAATTGGAGCGTTGGGGGTCGTTTAGTACATCATCTGTGCATTTCATGATAAATACCCATTTAGTACTCTCAAAAGGGTCTTAAGCGTGCACCTAGAGTTTAGGAGAGATTCATAACTTCTTTTTACACTCCGACTTTTTGTAGACAATTTGCTGCGATTTCATTGTTCTAAATTTGCGTCACTTTATGGCACCCATGAAGTGCGACGGCTTTTGTTTTGGTGACCACAGAGTAATGCATACTTAGAAGGTGGACAAAGGCCCAAATATTAGTTCTAACGCTTTGTCTAGCCTGTTCAAATTTAATTTTTGTAGATGGGACATTTGCCTCTCAAAGTTGCCTTTCAGTGTAGCAGAATGTACCAGCAGATGGTCGGAAATGTTCATTTTAGCTTCCCTCGGTGTTCGATCCTTTACGAGGCGCAGCTAATTAGTAGTGATTTATTTCACTAATAGCAGTAGGCTTTGCACAAAAGATTGGCCAACAATTTGAGAGTCTGTTTAAACTTACAATAGTGAGTCCGACGATAAAAGGTGAAAATCGGTGGTCACTCTATGTAACTTGGGCAGACGAGTGCAAATAAATGATCAAAATGGCAAATTAATATTTTACCACTGTAACTGTGAATCAACTAAACGCTAAGAACTTGGAACGCTTCTCTACGTTAGAAAGTATATTCTGATACGGTATCAACATCTTCAGGCTTCAAGTATGGATAAGAGCAATATGTATTCTGCATTAGTAGGCAAACGCGCTTTTATGAAACACTTATTCTGATTTATACTGCTTACCGTCAAAAAAAATGTAATTGAAGCAGAGAGCAGGCTGTTTACGGAATAACTAGTGACGATCGCCGACAAAATGGTTGCAGATGTCGGGTGCTTTGGCGACTCTGTATTGGGGCTATTAAGAACTGGAGCGACACTGCCTCCAAATCGTGCCTTTAACGAACAGCAATGAATAAAACGTAACAGTGAAGACAGAACTCCACATCAAAGGAACTACCGATGGGTGTCAGTGCAAATGAAGTCCAGCATTATCTCAGGTTGATTCACAGTCGAGAACAGATGATGATGATTAGTGAGGGATCGTCCTTGCAGCACCGACCACATTGCCGTAGACGATACCGGGAGTGGAAGGAAGGGCGCACTGGGGACGTGGCTCGAGCAAGGCTAGAACCTGGTGCAATATACTTCAGTGATTCTTTGGTTTGGACGCACGGGTACCAAAGGGAAGGGAATCTAACCACAGAATGGTGACAGCAGCTTCCCAGTGCTTCTGTGCTTCTAAGGCGCGTCATTCGTCTGACTACTGCCCTCTCCTGCCTTCAGGGAAGTCTTAAAAAGCTGAATTTGAAATTACCGCTGAAGTGCGATTCTATGGCTAGTACTTTGCCAGAAGGCAAATCTCATGTTTACAAATTAATGGGCGAGTAGTTTGGTACAAAGTTCAATTTTAAAAATGAAGTCGTCATGAGGATGCTTTTAACACTAGTCTTTAATCTTTTCGTTACTCTCGTCAGCAAAAAAAAGGGGTGAAATCCAAATAATTTCGCATAATGTAGTCGCAATTGGCAGTTTAAAGGGTGGTACTTAAGGAGGCGAATTAAACATCACCCCCAACTCGGCATTTGCCGAAATCCCATTTAACCGAGGCAAATACAACCTTCTACCATGATGCAAAAGTCTTAATACTGCTGCAGGCCTTTTCCCTACTAGAACTTTATTCTTATCATCGAAATAAACGAAAAGTGAGTAAAAGCATTGTCAAAGCACAACTGTCATTTTGCTAGTCAAACTAAATTAAGATTTTGGCACATGGAAATGGGAAAAACACACGACCTTCGAATCACTCCTCGGGATAAAGTGTAAAATTCTGTCACCCATTAATTTTTAATTTTAATGGACTTGGAATCCACTTCCACCCCTTCTGATGGCGATAAATTTGAACATTTTGGTATTTTTTATTCGATTCATATAGGCGCTGTGTGGAATCCTCGCACAACTCTATAAACAGCTAAAGGTAGATCTGAACTTGCTAGGCGTAAATGGCAATGTAGATGCAGACATTGTGGCGCAGTCAAACCATCTGAGCGTCTGAGTAGCAGATTAGTTTGGCTATAAGTCTTTCTGTTTGCAGTGGCCCAGGGACATCAAACGTGAAGGGGAGAAGACCTTCGCTTAAATAAATGTTTTGTGGTTATTGGAACTTGAAGGTGTTTGCAAGCAGTCACCAATTCACTGTCAATGGGACTGAGCACGCATACTATTTTAACAAGTTAGGAGGCTAACTGTTTGTCTGGTCGGAAGTTGACTTTTACAGATCATTCAATTTATAAAATTATTAATAAATCTAAAAAGGGGGTAAATATGTATATATAGGCAACTATTTTGATCTACTGAACGAGGTGGAGAAGCCTGACATAAAGCTGCGGTAAGCAGGCGCCCCCTTCCTACCCGAGGGAGGAACATGGCTTTAATGGACCTGAGCGGGCGGAAGGCTAGCACCGCCTGAGTGATGCTCATGTAAAAGTACTTTTCATCAGACAGATTTGATGAGGCAAAGCTCTGGCACGGCTTGAAGGCCACCCGCCCCACGGGAACAGGATGGTAGCCAAAGTGCCCGCCACTCATGCAGGTAGTCGAATCGACATAGTATTACGGCTCCGCCTAGTTGTATGCCCTATTAAGCCATCACTGATTGCAATGATGATTAGTTAGATGCAATTCAGCTTACGAATAATTGATGAAGAAGTAGATTCTGTCAGTGAAATTACACGCTAGTACTAGTTCACCTCATTTGTTGTCAGTTATTGCAACCTTTTCCAGTAAACAACCACTGCCTTACAAGTGATTTAAATAGGTATTTCATATCATGTCGGGATTATAAGTTAAATTAAAGTTTTAGAATGGGACAAAATAAAGCCTTAGGAGGACTGGGAAATAGAGGAGTCCTCATGGTGCTATGTAGCGCAGTTGACAGATGGTCAGCACCATGCCAATGTATCATGAAACCCAACATTAGTTTAAAGCAAACTGTAGTTTCTAAGCTGCGCTAGAGATTGAAGCCATTGATGTTTGTGTGAAGTTAGTAGTGGCTGAGAAAACAAGTTTAATCCGCATGTGAGAGGCTAAGGTGCTTGTTTAATGCAAGGTGAATGGAAGCGCCTTAGTGATAAAACGTTTCTGAGACAAATAAATGCCACAGATAAATTCTTAATTCATCTAAACCAAACTAAAAAAAATTATTTCAAACCTTAAGTTGTAAATGTGCCATTGAAACTTATCTCATCCGCATTCATGACCACCATAAACTCATTCTAGTCTAATGACAAGGCGAATGGGAAGAAGGTGGTGGAGAATTGGTTACTAAAGGATTCGGTGCTAAAACGACTGCTTTGTTTGAGCCTATTTAACAAGCATCACAGTTTTCTTACAACTTTCATGCTAATGACCATCCATTCTAGTATTTAATATTCTTCCTTCTGTGCTGGTGGCGGGACTTCCTCAGCGAAGGTCCTCTCAGATGTCGCATTGTGATCTTACTTGAGTCCTCAGTTGAACATGTGTACTTGCACTTGCTCTTCCGACATTTAACACTGCATCTTTCTTCTACCTATAATTCGATGCCTTTAAATCCCGACCTTGCTAGTTAGCGTCAATTTAGAAGACCGAAGCAGCCTTTAGCACATACGCCTTTTTATATTGAATGTCTAAAATGTAAAACTCATTTTTTAAGTTGGAGCACTATTCTTTTTCGAGAAAGTATCCACATAAATATATTCCTCCACTTCGAGGAACTTCTTAATCACACTGTTTACAAAACTGTGCGTTCAAGTCGTGGAGTAACTCATTATGAATAATGTAGTAGTTAAATTCAGTGTGGATTATGCAGAAAATAATAAAAATAATTCTGTAGCACTTTTTCCTAAATTCGCAGTATTTACAACAGCTGTTTGTGGAACTATCCTCCATGCTTCTATTCCGTCCCTGCGGCTAGTCACGGAGCGAAATACATGACTTCGAAGGTCTTAAACACAAATCGTCCAAGACTTAATGAAGGTCAAATAATTTTTGTCCATTCATGATCCATTAGTGTTTTTGCTACAGGGTTGTGTTTATAGCGGTGCATACTGGCACTGCACACTGTTCACAAGCTGTCTTCGCAGAGGCACAGCTCCTTAGATCCCCAAAAACCTTTAAAACCGAATGTCAGTGGGATAATGGTTTACATAGGAGCAGCGGTACTTAAAATCCACATCAATTTTTATGGTTACAGAAAAGACGTCCAATTAATCTATGGTAGCGTTGAACTAGTACAGATAGCTATTTAACGTGGCACTATAAAAACGAGTTTTCTTGAGGGCTTCGAGTCTTGCGAGTTTACAACACGCTACATTCCTTAAATTGTAAACTTCAAAACAACTTCCCATGTGCAATGTGTGGAGAAGTGCTACGCTTTCTGCAGGTAGCAGGCATTCAGCTGGAGAAAATCTAAGCGGCGCA